AATAATAAATAAAAAAAATTAATTTAATTATAAATACATTGTTTGTGTGTTTAAAAAAATTAATTGGTTACCTTTTTTTTGCTCTTTCTCACACATACCAGCATCTTTTTCCGGTAGCAAAAAAAAACAAAACTCGTTTCTATTTACAATACAATAAATTATTATTATTATTTCAAAACTTATTAATTATTATCAATAACGATCTGAAGAGAGAAAAAAAACCGTTTTATTCGATAATATTCTCTCTTTCTTTTTCTTTTTTTTTTCTTTCTCTCTTTCACCTGGAAACGTTTTTTCGTGTCTTTAAATTATTTTTTTCTTTCTAATGCTACGTTCGTATCAACCCAAAACTCGTATAAGATGAAAAGAGAGGAACAGAAACGGGGGAGGTATCATTTAAAAATAAACAACAGTACAGGTTTTCATTTCGTTCGTAAGGAACTTGCACTCACGCACGCACACACGCACTCACACACGTTTATAAACCGTTTGTTACCGTTTTTTTTTTTTTTTCCCTTGTGACATTTGACTGTCAATATATTTTATTTAAAATCGTTTTAACAGCTGTTAATTTACTTTCTGCTTTTATTAATGAGGTAAATAATATTGTCAGTTGTAAAAATCATTTATATATATATATAAATATATATACTCTCCATAATTTACATCTTCTTTACATTTTTTTAACTTGTTATAATAAATTTAAACGTGAGTGAGAGTAGTATACGCATAAAACTATAATTTTTTTTTTTTTGACAGTCATTAAATAAAATTTACATTTTTAAATATATCTATATATATTTATAGACGCGCTATAAAATAATACCTTTATATATATATAAATAAATCGCACATCGAATTTCCCCCTTTTCCTCCCCCACAACCTACCCCACGGATATCGTCATTATTATTACTATAAGTATTTTTTTCTTTCATTCTATAATTTATTCGTGTTAAATCTATAATTTTTATAGACTCGCACGTGCCTGTGCGTGTGCGTGTGTGTGTGTGTTTTAAACAAACGACGAGAATTATTTATTAATTATTATTATTATTATTATTTTGTATGATGTCATAAATACGTCATAGAGTACATAAATAAAAAGTAAAAAATCATTCTTCGTCTTTCTTTTTTTTTTTTTTTTATAGACTATATATAAATAAATAAATAAATAAAATATATGAAATCGTTAATTATTATCCGTGCTATAAAAATAAATAATTCGTGACATTTAAAGTCTATAATAAATTTATAGTTAGAAAAAAAAAAAAAAAAGGAAAAAATTATTAAATAATTTTTTTTATTAATAAAAAAAAAAAAACGTGTTTGTTTGAGTTGTTGTTCGTTGTTTGTTGTTAAAATTCATAAAAGTTTAATATGTTCTTCGCATTTCCGGTTAAGATTTTCAAACAAACGTGGGATTGGATAAAAAAAAAAAAATTTACATATGATTTTGCATGGAAAAGGTTAGAAAGGCAACAGAAACGACAACGACGACGACAGATTTAAAAAAAAAGGAAAAAGGAAATAAAGAAAAGGTTTTGTAACCTTAATCTCCATTTTATTATAATTCCTCCTGTCGGAATATAAAATTCCTTTTTTTTTTTTTCCTTTCTATATCCTCCCCTCTTTCTCTCTCTTTCTTCTCCTTACCTCCACCCCCACCTTACTCTTCCCTCATTTAAAAAAAAAAAAAAAAGAAGAAAAAAAGGAGAATCTCTCAAAGGATATTCCGAAATAATTCAACTTTTTAAATCATCGCTTTAGCTTTTATCGGAAATGGACACACGATTGTAGAGAGAGAGAGAGAGGAAAAAAAAAGTAATATCGAATCGAAAAAAAAAAAGAAATCAAAGGAAAGAAAAAGGAAAAAAAAGGAGAAAAAAAGGAAAAAAAAAAGGAAAAAAAAACGTAACTTTAAAAAAAAAAAAAAAAATCTTTCAAAAATAACCGAAATGATTATTCTCAAGGGTAAAATGTAAAATCCATGTTTAAACTCCCCTGCCCCCTGCCCCCCTCCTTCTCCCCACAAACTTGAAAATTCTAACTGACCCCTCGTTATATAAAAAAAAAGACATTGTAAAAGATGATTGATGAATTTTTTAAACACAAAAGGATCCCGCCAGCAAAAAAAAAAGAAAAAAAGAAAATCTGTAGTAAAAAAAAGAAAAAAAAGTGTTTCCGTTTCCTTTTGGATTTTCTGAAAAAAAAAAAAAAAAATTTACCGACAGCAAAAACATTTTTTTTATTTTTTTTGGTTCAATAAACGATTAAAACGATAGACAGGTGATGACGATTAATAGTTATTATTATTTATTATAGCAATTTGCTATAATTACATAATAACTATATAATATAGTAAGGAGAACAAAAAAAACAAACAACAACAAAGAACAACAAACAAGAACAATTCCAGATTAGAACGATAAAGTTAATAATTGATAATAATTAAGATAATAATAAATCCCGTGACGTTTTCCCCCTCCCCCTCCTCCCCTTATCAATACCCCTCGTTACGTTTGAGTAATAAATTCCAGATCATGATGATGATAAATTTTCAAAATCTATTGATAATAAAAAAAAAATTTTTTCCTTTTTCTTTTTCTCCAGAGGAATTACGCGACAAACAAAAAAAAAATTTTTTGTCAGTGATCCAACTTAACAAAAAAAAAACGATAAATTTTTTTTTTTTTTCTTCTCCCCCTCCCTTTTATCACTGACGTAAATGATTAAATCGAACGTAAAAAAAAAAACCTGGAAAAATAATTGTTGTAACGCTTTCGAACTGGATAAAATAGTAATAATAATAATGGTAATAATAAACTTTTACGTATCGTGCTCTCTGTGCACGATATTTTCTGGAAAATTTTTTGGAAAATTAATAATAATCGTAAAACGAACGGACGAACGAATCGAAATATAAAATAAAAAAGACGTCAATTGTAAATGACCGTAGTAATCATCATCATCATCATCTTTATTATCATTATCATTATTATCATCATCGTCGTAATTTTTTTTGTTTTCTAATTCCTGGAAGGGAATCCGAAAAAAAAAGGAAAAGGAAAAAATTAGAAAGAAAATCGTAAACCACGTTAATATAAAAATAAATGAGTTATGAAAAATGACCGATAGGATGAGTAGGGAAGAAAGAAGGAAGAGGGGAAAAGAGAGAGGGGGAGGGGTAGAGAGAGAGAGAGATGATGAAAATAAATTTAATATCGAAGTTAAATGTCCAAACCTTTAACTGGAATTATATTTTCAGGAACAATTCATGGCTCAATGAACAATTTGTGTGGAAAATTTATTTTCAACCCTTCTTGACCTTTTCTCTAAAATTTTCTAATGAAAGTCTCATGTCTGGTTTTCTCGGTAGTAATATTCATAGAAGGAAGGAAAGAAAGAAAGAAAGAAAGGGACAGACACACAAAATGTTATAAATATATATATGTGTATGGTAGAGAGAGAGAAAGAGAGAGAGAGGGAGAAGGAAATGAAATGGACGTGGTATTATTTAATTTGTTACGTTGTTTTCCTCTCATCCCTTACAACAATGAAAAAAAAAATTATTTTTTTCATTTATTATTATTATTATTATTTTTCCAAAAACAAGGAAAACTATTAAAAGGCCTGGAACTAAAAGAAGGGAGAGGGAAAAGAAAGGAAGAAAAAAGGAAATGGATAAATTTTCAGCGTTAGAATTTGTTAAAAATTTAAATTTTATTTTAAATAAACCTTGGGTTAAAATATCCCTCCTCCCCCCCAAAAAAAAATTTAATTAAACCGGATATACGACTATAATACGACCACTATTTTAAACCGGAAATGTTTTTTTTAAGTAAATTATTTGCGCATTTTAAAAACTTTATTATATCCGCTGGAAAAGAAAACTTATTGCAAAAAAAAAAGTTTTTTCCTTGTTTTTTTTTTTTTTTTACTGGAATTTTTATGTTTTTTTTTGCTGGATTTTTTTTCGTATAAACAAAAGGTGAGAGGAAGAAAGAGAAGAAGAGGGGGAAAAAAGAGCAAAAAATTTTTTACACATTTTGCTGGAAATCTACATTTTCCTGGAGAATCGTTTGTTAACAGACTAAATTAAAACGGATTTTATGATTTTTTTTTTTTTATTGCTCAAATAAAAAAAAAAAAGAAAAAAAACTTTTATTTTGATTGATTTATTTATTTTTTATTCTTTTGCTATATTTAATTTTTTTCTCTCTCTATTTTCTTAACCCCAGCAAATAATTTTTAATGTTTTTCTTCCTTTTTTTTTTTTATTTCTCATTAACTTCATTTCGCGTTTTTACCATTTCTAACTCTTTCAAACTTCTTTCTTCCTCTCTTTTTAAACGTTACTCATCATCATCACCATCATTATTATTATTGACTCCCCATCAATTAAAAAAAAAACAAAGAAAAAAAATAATCATCACAAATTTATAAATGACAGCAAAAAAAAATGAAAAGATATGATAATTATTATTCAGGTTCAAGTTTTTTTTTTTTTGTTGATAACGGTCTAGCGAAACGGTCACTTTAAATAGAGAGAGAGAGAGATAGAGAGAGCATAATTGAGTCATGCGTTAGTCATCATACAACAATAACAACAACAACAACAACAAACGCGTCAAAATCTATATATATATATGTGTGTGTGAACGTATGCGTGGATGTAAGTATTTGCTAAGGATAGAAAATGTCTTGCGGTTAAACAGACGCAATGAATAATTTTAAAATAATTTTTTTTTTTTTCTTTTTCCTTTGAATTTAATTTTTTTTTTATATTTCTTCCTTTGTGTTGGTGTTTGCGTCGTCGATGAGTCAAATTTTCCATTTTTAGTTTTTATTACAAAACTCTGAACGTATTTGTCATATCGAAAGGTATCGCATTTATTTTTATTTATCTATTTTTCACGACGATGATTAAATTTTTAATCGAAGGAAAAAAGAGAGAGAGAGAGAAAGAATAAGTGATAAGAGAGAGAAAGAAAAGCAAGAGAGAAGCCGTAAAAAGAAAGAGAAAGAAAATAGAGATGGTTAGCAGTTGAGAGAGAAAGAGAAGGATTAAGTAATAAGAGAGAGAAAGGAAAACAAAGACAGGGAATAAGAGAGAGAGAGAGAGAGAGAATAAATTTTAAATTGATTAGAAGATAAATAATAATAATAATAATTTAACAAATGATTTAAATCCGCGCAAAAGTCTATCAATCAAAAATTATTCTCTGAAATTTTTAACAAAATAAAATAAGAGATTATACTGCTGATGCTGTCGGAAAAAGTAGCAAACGCGTTGAATTCAGTGACGCAAACAAATTCAACAACAACAAACCAACATTCAAAGAGAAAATAAAAAAATCAATTAAATTAAATTAAAAAAGAAAAACATTTAAAGTTTAATTTGGTCGTAACGGTTTTATTTTCGAGAAAAAAAAAACAAAAAACAAAAACGACGACAGGAAATTATTTGTAACGACGGAAGTTATTGATAAATTTGACCTTGAATTATATTATCACGCACACGCACGCACGCACATATGAAAACCGAATATTGTATTGAGTAATTGCGTGCGCGTGAATGCCAATACGTCTGCGACATATTAATAAAATTAATCTTTTTTTTTTTGTTTTTGTTCTTATCGTTCGTCATTTAACCTCTGAAACAAAAACAAACAAACGAACAAACAAACAACAACCGTAAAACATCAAAGACGAAGAACAAAAAAGAAAAAAAAAAAAAAAACAAAACGAAATCAAGGACGATACAAATTGACGATGCGCAATACTCGACGACATGAAAAATCTTTTTTTTCTTAACGCTCTATAAACGCTCTATAAAAATTTTTACTCTATATTTCATTTTTTTCCCCTCTTTTTTAAGGATGTTTTTCCAACCGACAAAAAAAAAATTTCGTTTTTTTCCTTCCGTATCGTGTTCTTATCGTCGTTATTATTATTATTATTATTATTATTATTATTATTATTATTATTATTATTATTAATATTATTAGCAGAAGAAAAATATTTTATAAGCTTCTTATAATACGAACAATTATTAATCATGGTTTCCTTTTTAAAAAAACCTTTTCTTCATCTTCTTTTTTTTAATATTAATTTTCTCCAGTTTTCCAGTTTTTTAAAATTGAATTTTTCCAGTTCTTACGTATGGTAGTAGTACCATAATTACAAAAAAAAAAATTTTTTTTAATTAAAAATTAATTTATAATATACAAAATCCGTTTACGTATATATATTTTTTAATATATTTTACAATGAAAATTTCATTCCAGAATGAGAATGAATGGATGCAGAATGGGGAGGTATGATGGGGATGCGGTACAAAGGGGTTGTAAGGGGTCGAAGAGAGTTTAAAAAAAAAAAAATCAAACGGATTAAATTTAAGCGCGATTTAAAAAAAAAAAATATTTTATATGATATTTCTGTCGAAATTTATTTTTTTTCGGGAAGCGGGAGGGATGAGGGGGGGTAATAATTAAGATACGAAAAGTTAAATAGTTCCGAATAAGGGATGTAAACGATATGTAATTAAACCGATCGAGTTTTACCGGTAAAATTTTTTTTTTTTTTTTGTTAAAAATGCGACGATTGTTCAAAAAATCGTCTTCATTATTATTATTATTATTACATTTTTTTTTTTTTATTATCGAAAATTTTATTACTCGTACAATAAGGAAAAAATTATTATTATCATTTTGAAATTTTTTTAACATCCCTTAATAATAGTAAGGGAAGGAAAGGTAAAATTTTAGTTTTATGCGTGTGAGAAAAAAATTTTTATTATTTTTATTTTTTTCGAGTCGAGTGCGTGAGTGCGTGAGTGCGTGCGATATGTTTATCCGTAGTAATAATAATAATAATTATTAGTATTATTATTATGATAACGATTGCATAGTATCGATCGTTATAATAAAAAAAAAACCGTTGAACGGTGATAAAAGTCGACAAACGAGTAATAAAACAAATTTTTATATTCTTACAGGTAATTTTTCTTGTTTTTTTTTTTTACCGGTAATAAAACGTTAATGAAATTTAATGCGCATTAAAAAAAAAAAAAATTTTAAACGAGAGGATGATGATAATAATAATAATAATACAAACGAAAAAAAAAATATTCACTCGGATTAAACAATTAAAGTTAAATAGAGAAAAAGAAAAATTTTTTTTTGTTGGCAACAAGTCGAATTTTAACGTAACGTCAACGAAACGAAATTATTTTTACTTTTTTTCTAAGAAATAATTGTCTTGGTTTTTTCCTATTTTTTTTTTACTTCTTCATTTTTTTTCTGTACAAATGGAAAAGAGTGAGAGAGAGAGAGATATGCGGAGCAAGTATTAAAATTTTAAAACGAAATTATCTGTAAGAGTTTTTTTATTTTTTTTTATTTTTTAAATTTACTTTTTCTTCACCCTTGACTGACAGTCTAGATAATGTTTTCCAGATTAGAATTTTTACTAAAAAAAAAAAATTTTCATTCGTTTCTTCTAAGCCCCTCTTACCCCTCCCCCAAATCCCCCAATCCCCCAAATCATCATCATCGTCGTCGTCGTCGTTTCAAACATTTTCCTTTTTCCTCTTCCCTTTTTTTTATAAAAAAAAAATTTTATTTTTTTTATTTTTTTTCGATTGTATCTTCTTATTTTCCTTTGAAACGATTTCCTTTGTTAAAAAAAAAAAAAATTTTCCTGGAAAAGAATATAAATTGTAATTTTTGATAAAAATAATTGTAGTTTTTATTTTTTTTTTTTATGTTTTAATTCCTTTGGAGAAAAAAGAAACAAACGGAGAAGGAAGATTGTTTTGATGACGTAATTGATCTAAAATACTTTGTAGTGTTGGGAAAAAAAAAAATTATTACATCTTCTGCTTTTATCAAACTAAACTACTTAAATTTTTTTTTTCTTCTTCCTGGAATAATTTCCCTTTTCTTCCCCGCTCCCCGCTTTCCCTCTCTCTCTCCCCCTCCCTTTGGGTTTTTTTTTATTATTTTAATTTCTGTTGTCTTCTGCTTGACGACGTTCGACGTTTTCCGTTTACATTTGAGTTTTATCAAAGAAAAATACGGTTGCTGTTTGTTTGTGAGTGATTTTCCAGTTTGAAATGATGATGACGATCATATCCTGGACAAAAAAAAAATGTGATAACTTTCTCTTGGTTAAGCACTTCCGTCGTCGTCAATCAAACCCCCCCTCTCTCTCTTTCTCTCTTTCTATTCTTAAAAAAATTTTATATAAAAAGTGTTTATTAAGGTAAAAAAAAAGGCCTTGAAATGTTTTTATTATAACAATCAAACAAACAATCTCCTCCTACTCCTCCTACTCCTACGCGACAACAACTAAAACAAACGCAAACAAAAAAAAAAAAATTTGTTTAAATAATAAATATTTAAACAAACGATTATGATGATAAATCATTTTGTT